ACTGCCAGGGAGGGGGCAGCCACAGCTTCTCTGGGCAACCTGTGCCAGTGTTTCACCACCCTCATGGTGAAGAATTTCTTCCTAATGTCTAATCTAAATCTGCCCTCTTTTAGCTTAGAGCCGTTCCCCCTTGTCCTATCACTACATATCCTTGTGAAAAGTTCCTCTCTGTTCTTCTTGTAGGCTGTAAAAGTGCTCTGACAGCTCAGAGTTGCTTGAAATCAACTGTTAGGATAATCTTCATCTCTGCCTTGTTTCAGTGGCTAAATCCTTTCATGCTAGTTGTCTTTAATTTGTGTTTTTATCTGAGCGCTCTGACGCATGGAAACTAAACCGCAACTCTTTACTGGGGAAGGTGCTCCACTTTCTTCCGGCTTCACCTCGATTTCTCACCAGTGATTCCTGTTGAAAGTTGACCTGGCAGTTAAATGTTGCAAAAATAACGAGTACAAAAGTGTTCTGTGCAGCATCAAATGTTTGAGAGGAAATTAAAAGACAAAACTGCTCTGCTATTTCATGAAAGATTCAATTTGTAATTAAATGTCTTTTGAATTTTAGCTATTACCTCAATACTCTTTGTCAGCTTGCAGGTGAGCATGCCCATTTCTAAGGGATGAGGAAAGTGTTTTGCACAGTTAATGTAATGTATTTATTTTCAAAAATTCCAACAAACTCTGTTCCCTCCGTGGTTCAGAAAGGGCCTGTTCCAAAGTCTCCTGAAGCATTGAGCAAGCTGCGCTTGGCTTCAGTGGTTTTCAGATTGGATTGGAAATGAGGGCTTTGCTTGATAAGTCCAGGCACAATGGGAGCCCTGTAAAACCATTCCCTGACACAGATTTGGATTTGTTTCATTTCTTCTGTGTGGCACATTCGTATTTCAGCACTGTAAGTGCCCGAAGAGAGGTAAGACTCTCCAAAGCCTTCCCCTTGCTTGTTAGAACCCAGGTCTCCATGGGGGTGCCCAGCACGCCAGGCGCGACTGCAGCGCCCGCAGAGACGGGGCTTCCTTTCCTTGGGCTCCCCTTTCCATGCAGTTCTCAAGGCAGGACTCCGTTCACTCTAACATCAGATACTTCCCCACCACTCCCCTTGGAGACTCTTCCACAGCGTGTAGGGCTGCTGGTCAGCTTTTCCTGATGATGATGACGGAGGCGATACCTACTGTTTGGTATATTTTGTGCCACAGAGAGCTTCACTGCTCTCTGATGACCAAGGTATTACCCTTGACACAGCACCGCCAGGTGTGGCTCTCAGAAAGTTATTACCTTTATCACACGCACACACACTCACTCTGTGTATATATATTTTTTTTTCTGTTTACACAGGCAACATGTTTATATTTTTAATTCCACATGAAAGCTGATTGCTGCTGCCATCCCGTTCCATCCCAGCAGTGACCAGCACGATGGCAACTGAGCCGTAGCACGGTGTTTAACCCAGGGCAAAACACCCAACCCCAATATGTTTATATTTTTAATTCCACATGAAAGCTGATTGCTGCTGCCATCCCGTTCCGTCCCAGCAGTGACCAGCATGACGCTGACTGAGCCGTAGCACGGTATTTAATTCAGGACAAAACACACAACCCGCGAGAGCACAGCAGAGCAGGTACATCATCTCTGGGAATCTCAGTGGTAAGAGGACAAATCCCTTCTTTCTGTACAACACTTGAGGTTGGGTTAACTACACCCCTACTCTCATTCCAGATACTCTGCTTAGCTGCTGCAACAGGAGGGAGCTTTCATGAAAGAGAACTCAAAAATTCACATCTCACATAGCCACGTAAAACCTTCTGCATGGTGGAGCTGAGCATGGAGCGTTTATAGCCAAGATACTGATCCCAGAGCCACCTACAGCTGCATGGAACTTCCCCGTGCTGCTGGAAGTGCTGACAGCTCGGCTGGAGGGGTTGCGTGTTTGGGACGCCCCTGAGCTCTGTGTGTTGGCACACTGAAGTTGATAACTCCCCGTTCCTATTCACAAGGGCTCTGTGCAGCCTTTGAGGTCTTGGTGCTAAGGGCCAGGGAGGATGCCAGGTGGTCTGTGCTACTGGTAAGACCACAGGAGTGGATCTATCATCTCCTACGCTTGCTTCACAGGTAGCAAAATCTCCAAGTGCAGCTCTAGAAGAGGCTTCTCTTGGGAGGGCAGGTCTGTCTGTTAGCAACCCGCTGTCTTTGTATTGCGGGGTGAGCTCCCTCCCAGGTGCCCTTTATAAAGCTTGGAAAAGCTGAAGGGCCTTTAGAAAGCCCTCAAAATGGCTTTAAAAAGCTCTAAGCCTGAAGCAGGTGAACCTGATGCCAATGATGTGTCCATCAGGGAGGGGGATGTTTTGTTTGGTACCTTCATTGATGCAAAAACAGCTATCTAAGATAAAGCTACATGTGAATGGGGGATTTGATTTTTTAAAACTAGACAAACAGAGGAAAAAAATCAAAACCACAAAGGTTTTAGTCTTTAAATGAAAGCAGGGGAGAGGGGATCTCCTTTCTGTCACACAGAGGAAAGCAGCGCTAGCATCTGAAACAACTCCACAGCCGTGCCCTTTGTGTTTTCCAGTCCAGACTGGGGTTGCTGCTAGACAGCTGTAGAGCCTGTGGCCCTGCTGTGACCCCACGCTGTCCCTCTGGAGACCCCAGCGAGGGACCCTGAGAGCAGCCCAGAAGGGCTGCCTTCACCTTGCCCAGGCAGAGCTGCCGGCGCGGACAATGAGCCCACTGACGGGGCTCCTCCAGACGGCGCCGCGTTGTCAGCCGCCATCATCTGATCTGTAATAATCAGGTCATTATAAAACAATGTTCTTGCTTCCACATGCCAGAGGCATGAAATAGGATATGTTTTCTGCTTCTCTCCTCTGCCTGGGATAGGGGGCAAAGAGAGAAGGCTTTGTCCCTTTGTCCCTGCGCTCTGTGTTTGCTCGCTCCTCGGCTCGCTCCTCGGCTAACGGGACGGAGTGGCCGGCACAGCACGGCTTGCTTCGGTGATGAAGTGCTGGGGGCTCCTTCGGCTCCCCCCCACCCCGACAGCTCGTAGGGGCATAGCCGAGTGCAACTGTGGGGCTGAGTAAGAGCAGCGCAGGTGCAAAGCGGAAGCAAACCCTGGTGTCCTCAAACGAACACAACAGCTTTGCTGGTCGAGAGGTGTGGGGAGCGGCCTGAGAAGCTGTTTCATTTTGTTGTGCCAATATACCTTGGCTGAGAACTGAATGGTGACTCCTGTTATTTAGCATTATAGCACCGGCCGGGAAGGCAATGCCCTTCCTTTCCCACACTTCCCCCAGCTTCTCCACAGCCCTGCGTGGTGGACGTGCGGCTTTTG